TCGAACATCGAACAATAGTCAAACACTCGGGGTTTCCGTACGATTAGAGTGTGGCTACACGAAGTTTATGGTACACTGAGAGCTATACAATGATGATCCGCGATTCTCGTCTCTACGTCGAATTAACACCGTGGCACGTCGGCGTTCCCTACACTGGGACGCCGTTTCGGCGAACGCTGTGCGGAAAGAAGAGAGCGTACCGACATATGCAAGTGTACAGAGATTAATAGAGGATATCGGTCTGCTGTAATTTCTCCCTAATTCGCGCTTAGATTGTACAGAAAACTGGACAATTCCTGGAGAGAGGAGACACGGTTAACAGATTTTTAGATTTAGATTTATCCGTGAAAATGACTGGAGTTCGCTAACTTTTTCATTTACGATCGTTCATATCGTAAAGATACGTTCCCGAGTTGTTCATTTAATTTATATGTCACTTACGCGGCAAATATTGCATTTAACACTTGTTCAAAATCAGAATAAATGTCTTATTGTTGCTTTTACAAAAGCAAATATAAAACAGCCGTTTCCTGTGCTCCGTAAATCTAGCGTTGACCGAGCCTCGCGTCTCGTTAAGAGCAAGCCTCGAATGAGCGTATCTCCTCTTTCGCAATTCGTCGATTCTCGAGCGCCACCTCGGCGCGAATCGCAGAGAAATCACCGCATCCCCGGGCATCTAACAGCACCGTCCGAACGTTCGAGCCAGACACTTTGATTATCGCGTTCGAGTTTCCCGAACTGTGCGAGCGTTTTCGAAGCAGCGTCGCCGTTCGCGCGCGGCGCGGCTCGGCGACGTCGAACGTCGAAAGGACCGATCGGACGGTGCCGGTTTACGAAAGATCTATTATACTGTATGCCGCTTGAACTGCGTTCTATCACGAGGACACGAGTAATGGGAAAGCAACGGCAAAACAATGGTCAGCCCTTCGAAGAGGCAGCCCCCCCGCGAACAACGTTCGAGGCTCTCGTTTCGAGGCGTTGCATGAAAAGATGCGCGCGACTTCGCGGATTCATTTAACAATCGATATACATATCGGGCTGCTCTTCGAAGGGTCGACACTCGGCAACCCCGGCTCGCGGAACGACGTCAGTCGTACACAGTTTTATACATTATTTATAGGGGCGACGACTTCCTATCCGCGATCTCTCCCTCTCGCGGCGACGCGGGGGACTTGGTTTGCGGCTGGATCGTGCAAGTGTTCGATCTTTCGTACGATCTTTCAGAAGAGTCGACGTCCATCGCGGAGCCGCGAGAGACGTTCCCGACGGAGATCGTTGCCCTGCGACTCGCCGGGAACTGCCAGCTGGAGCTTCGTCGTTCCCAAGTTGGTGAAACTTCGACGGGAAGAAAACGGAGCTCGAGCGGCAGCCACCGACCGCGACTTAGCCCGCATTTACATAGCCGTTTCGTTACAAGCTAACGATAGTAAGTGACAATGATGATTACTCGTGGCCACGTCGCCGAGACCGTAGAACGTAGGAACCCCGGATCGCACCCACGGCGGTTCCCCGGCTCGTCCATCCCCTCCCCCCCCCTTCCCCACCCAAACCCCAGAAGTGTTCTTCCATCTCCACGTACACAATAATACTGGCTATGTTTTTAGTCGTTTACAAGTTACAATTAACTCATTTTACTCGTAATTATTATCGTTTCTCGGTGAGTTCGACTCCTCGACTATCTGCCCTCGATTAATTAAGCAATCCTCTCTCTCTCTCTCTCTTTTGCACACACACACGCACGCATACGCGCATTCTCCCTTTTTTTTCGTTCTCTCTCTCTCATTCTCTCTCGCGCTCTTTTTTTTCTCTCTCTCTCTGTTCGTCGATTTGCTATTGTCACATGTACAAGTCTTTGGAAACGCTTTCCTCGGCTCTTGCCGCGGTGAAATTTATGTATATTATGTATAATCGTAGCGTCTGCGTCCACACACACACTCACACATACACTCGCGCGCTCATACACACACTCACGCAGACAGTGCCTCCTTTACTGCGACCTCTAACGGCCGTGTATGTGAACGCAGCGTCGTGTATCGGCCCCAGCGGTTCCAGCGATCTTGTTTCTGTATACGTGGGGTGGCTACCCGCTACAAATAATAGTCTTTTATCAAAAGCACATGTATATCGTGGCTAGCCTATGTGTGTATATATAATATGTATATATATAATATATATAGTATATTGTATATAAACCGAATGCCGTATCTGTGTGATTTGTTCGTTCGTCTCTCCCTCTCTCTCTCTTCCCTGTGTGTCTGTACACCTCTCTCTCTCTCTCTCTCTCTCTCTCTCTTTCTATCTATTTACCTATCCCTCTGTCTGTGTGACTCTGTGTGTGACTCGGTTCTGCCATCTTGGGTTTNCTTTTGCACACACACACGCACGCATACGCGCATTCTCCCTTTTTTTTCGTTCTCTCTCTCTCATTCTCTCTCGCGCTCTTTTTTTTCTCTCTCTCTCTGTTCGTCGATTTGCTATTGTCACATGTACAAGTCTTTGGAAACGCTTTCCTCGGCTCTTGCCGCGGTGAAATTTATGTATATTATGTATAATCGTAGCGTCTGCGTCCACACACACACTCACACATACACTCGCGCGCTCATACACACACTCACGCAGACAGTGCCTCCTTTACTGCGACCTCTAACGGCCGTGTATGTGAACGCAGCGTCGTGTATCGGCCCCAGCGGTTCCAGCGATCTTGTTTCTGTATACGTGGGGTGGCTACCCGCTACAAATAATAGTCTTTTATCAAAAGCACATGTATATCGTGGCTAGCCTATGTGTGTATATATAATATGTATATATATAATATATATAGTATATTGTATATAAACCGAATGCCGTATCTGTGTGATTTGTTCGTTCGTCTCTCCCTCTCTCTCTCTTCCCTGTGTGTCTGTACACCTCTCTCTCTCTCTCTCTCTCTCTCTCTCTTTCTATCTATTTACCTATCCCTCTGTCTGTGTGACTCTGTGTGTGACTCGGTTCTGCCATCTTGGGTTTCTTCGTTTCCGTCGCTGGGACCGCGAGTCCACAGCCTCAGGATTTTCCTGCGTTTGGAAGTAGCTCTCGGAGATTTCGAAGCCTCGACAGGCCGGAAACAGCTTGAACTTTGGGCGAAATGTGTCGACTGAAGAGCCTCCTGGCTCGTGGACCCGTTGGATCTCCCCCACTCCGACCGCCGTAGATCTAGAGAGACGGTGTCGCATGGTGCTCGAGCTAGGGCCCACGGCAGGCTAGCAAAGACGTTCGTCATTCTTTCTTTTTTTTTGAATCTCGTTTAGTTCTGTGCGAAGAAAATAGCTCGATTCGGGCAACAACTCCTCGGCTGCGACGAGATGACCCCCCGTCGGGGGTTGCGCCTCGCGTGGGCGCGGCGATTCCGTAGTCAGTCTAAAAACGTCGAATTTTGTGCAAGGGATTGCGAACTAGGAACCAGTGTTTCTTTGTTTTGTTTGCTTTTACTTGAATTTGTTCTTTCGTCGTTCGTGATATCGTAGCAGTCTTTGGCGGTTTCGAAGTCGTCGAAGGTGTGTTGGCTCTTCGGGCTTCGTACGAAGCTCTTTGTGTCCGCACGATGGACGCGCGAGAAGCGGTCGCGTAGGGTCGTCGGATTCGTCGATTATCCTCGTTTCAATTTCTTCTTTACCTGTATATTTTTCTTTCTTTCTTTCTTTCTTTCTTTCTGTTTTGTTTCTTTTTCTTTTTAGCGTTGGATGTCGCGTTTCTTCGCGACGGATTCGGTGAAGAAGAACAGTCGCGGTGGTCCCATTTATGCGCGTCGTTTCGTTCTAAGAAACTCGTGATCGCTCTCTTTATTGTGCGTCTGGCGACAGGATTTTTCAGCCTTGAAATGTGGATGTGATCTTACGCGATGGAACACGGACACGCTGCACTACATAAGCATAAACATCTCATAAACACAACGTGACACAACGAAGAAAACGCGCGGTTTCCTCTTTCAAACGTACTAACAGCAATAATACTCTCAAAGAAACCATTTGACTAGGGGAAAAACGGTAAACACATTTTATAGCGACTAGATACACGAGTCTACGCCGTTCTACGAACGGCTGCCGTCGTTACGAAATCATTCGTGAAAACAGAACGGTACCCGCTTTCTTTCTCAACCCTTCGTCGAAGCGCCGCGAGGATCTTGGACGTGGAAGGCTGGCTCCAGAGACAGCCGGGCCGTTGGATTGGACATCCGGTTCCGTGGACCCGTGCCTCGAAAAATCGGCACAAGTCCGCGCAACGGACCTCCGAACAGCCAGGCGACGTCTCTGATTGCAGCCCCCGCGATCCCCCCCACTCCGACGAGCGGTTCAAAGCAAACATGCCTACTAGTAACAAAAAAGCTTTCCAACGCTTCAATAAATCGCCTGTTCCAACAGGCCGCTTCGTAATATACTCCCGATTAACAGCTCTTTGGTGATCCGTACTCAATAATAAGAGCTGGCCATGGAATCAATGAACATTTTTCAATAGAACGGAGAACTAACAATAAGATTGGTCATGGCTCTCGGCGGTCGCCGCCCGCGGCAGCGACGCCGGGCCTACTCGCAGAAAATATAGGTCGAAACGGGCTAGAAGGCGGAACGATTCAATTCAACAATCAACAAACAATGACCAGCGATCAACGGTTTTGGTCTGACCACCGGCCGGCATTGCCGACCCAATCAGTCGCGAGGATCAAATGCATCGACAAACCATGTATCATGTGTATATATAATATATATATACATATATATATATATATATATATATATATATATATATATATATATATATATATATATATATATATATATATATATATATATATATATATATATATATATATATATATATATATATATATATATATATATATATATATATATATATATATATATATATATATATATATATATATATATATATATATATATATATATATATATATATATATATATATATATATATATATATATATATATATATATATATATATATATATATATATATATATATGTATATATATGTATATAGGGCCAGCAGAGATATTGAATGGCCAACGCTGCGTCTGGTCTTTGTCCATGATTCCCGTCGACTAATCTTTCACCTGACGTTCTCGTATCGAGAGGAAAGCAAAGAGACTCCCCGAACGAGATTAGTCGGAGTCGCAGTGCCGATCGTCGTCGCTCGCCTCGGCGTCGCCCTCGACGTCCCTCTCGCCCTCTTCAGGATGCGGCGTGTTCCCCTCTTCCGTGTCGACGCTGCTCGTCGGCGTGATCTGCTCCGTACCAGGACCAGCCGCATCCCCGGCGACCCCGTTCGCGGTCTTCTCGAGCCCCAGCCCGCCCAGGAGGCTCTTGTTAATCGGCTCCGGCGATTCTTCGGACTCCTCACTGCTAGGTGAACCGGGTGACGAGACTATCACCTGTGCAGACATAGACGCCGCCGGGTCAGCGTCGTTCCCAGTTAATTCTAGGCCGGCTCATTCGACTAAAGACAGTGCTGTTCAGTCGGCCCTAGAGGCGAGGCCCGTGTCGTTTCTCTCTACTATGGCATAGTAGCGCATAGACCGTGGCTACGCAGGCATTGGCAACTCCGCGAAATGCAAACGGATACGGGGACAGGGCCACGCGGGGATCCCTAAACGTGAACAGCACTGATTCTAAAGGTGATGCACAACGATTCGCTGACTCTTTGCATAGCACCAGCTCGCATGGAACTAGCTGTGCAAAGAGTCGAGTGCCGCGAAACTCTGAAGCGGGATGATGTTCTCGTGTTTTGTGGGTACGTGAGATTATGTGAGTTTTTTTTTGACTATGCTGGATAATTGTTGGCGCTATTCTGCTCGCTCGACGTGCAGCACCTAACTGGGTTTGCCCCGATACGGTAATGTCTCCCTAACTGACGCTCAGATTGTGTATTGAAATGGACAGTTTTGGAAGAGAAGATACGATTGATCGAGACTCGTTTTTATAGTTCTTGAGAATTCGTAATTATGAGAACGAACCGCAAGGCTCGAATAATCGTATCTACTCTCCCCGAATTGTCCAGTTTTGCGGACAATCTGAGCGTCAATTAGAGAGACATTGCTGTAGTGCGAAGAGTTTGCTTGTCGCGACTGTGTACAATAAAGTCTAGGAAAAAGAAATACGATTATTCGAGCCTTGCAAAGCCTAAAAGAATAATCGTATCTCCTTTTCCCGAATTGTCTATTTTTGTGCACAATCTGAGCGTCAGTTAGGGAGACATTATCTTCCAGATGACGTCAGTTGCCTGTTCATCCTGGAGACCCTCTAATAGGCGACGCACAATAAGAATAAAATTGAGTCGTTGAACGCCATTTTTGTATTCGCATGCAGTAAATATAACCAAATAAAATGGCAACACAGTCGTCTGTATATTACTTATGCTTTAAAATGGCAGCACCGATCAGTAATCGCGAACATCGCTGCATGACTCTTATTAAAGGGTCTCCAGTTCAGACGTCTGTGTCAGAGGTCATGGTTGATTGAAGTCTAGGTAGGAAGGACCAGGAAGAGATTGGGAATGTTTTATGCTTATATGAGATGAGCATGGACATGGATTGATGGTGCAAAGGTTGGCGGGACTGTCTTGTGGATATGTCTTCGTTACCGAGGGTTAATTAAAAATGACAGGAAATTCTGTATCCAGGAACAAGTGGTGTTTTCCGGTTCTACGAGGTGAACGTTGAGTGTTGAGATGTCTCTGGCTGATTCTTAGTGCGCAGTGGACGACGTTTATAAGAACCCTGCATGTTATGATGATTTCATGTGAGAGTGGATGTGCTGTTATGTTCGAGTGCGACTGTTCGATGTGAAGTTTCAGAGGTTGAAGGTAAAGTAGAGTTAGCTGTACAATTCGAGTTCAGTTCAATGATGGTGCCGGAGAGAGATTCGAAGTGAACAAGCGAACAAACAAGTGCTGCGACGAGAGTGTCGTTGAACTGAATTCAAGGTGCAACAGCTTCGATGCGAGAGTAGAGCATGCTAGGATACATTTATGATCCCTCGGACTGTCAGTGATGAAAGAATTACAGTGAACCAAATGACTATTTAATTGCAACACGAAGGAGGACCTGTATATTCCACTCTCTCTCTCTCTCTCTCTCTCACTCCCTTTCTCTCTCTTTCTTTGCTCTCTAACTATGTGATCTTGTGCTTTCAGACTCTAGATTGCATTTCATTGGCTGGTCGAACGACGAAGGCAGCGTCAAAGCATAAGCCTTCGTTGTATCACGATCGGATTAATAATTCATCGGAGACGTTAGAAGAAGTCTGTCCTTTGGCCAAACGTTTCTTTAATCGGCAAGAAGTGCAAAAGCTCCGCTTTCTATGAATATTAATAATGCTCTATGATCCTCCAATTAGTAGGAAATACCTGTGTGTAACGTTAGTGCAAAGTCATCGTGACAAACCGTCTACCGTCGTCTGGCAGGTCGGATGCTTTAAAAAACATTACGAATCATCAGATTTCCTCACACTCAACCAAGAAGGCAGGTATATATATATATATGTATATATATATGCTACGGCTAACAACTATTCGTAGAAAGACTGTGCCGATGAAATGTGATGAAATGTGATGAGAAAAGTGACTGATAATCGGTTCTCTGACTTCTGACATCGGGCCATGCATGTGATAACGACAACTAAAGGCTTGACGTAACGCGAATGAAAATGATAATAACGATAATACCTGTGCAAGAAGCGGCGTCTCTGTGCTGTCAGCGGTTTGGTAGAGCCGGCAATTTGCGCTTGCTCTGAAGAATACGTGCCCAAAACGAAAAAAGATAAAGAAGACAACGTAAATCGTCACTATAATGGAAATACACGTCGAGAGACTGGCGGAGCAAAAACAAAGAAAAACAATCACCCACCCATGTAACGGACAGAACTGACATCGAGAGACATGCACGAAGGTGTTTCTGGAGTGCTAAATATTTACACGGACTCATCGAGATATAACACATTTGCAAATTCTTCGACGCGTGCGATCAGCTTCTTTGCTTAAACAACGATGTCTGGAAAACCCGGCGGAGAACGATACGTAAACGCGCCCGTCATGGAGAACGGGCCTCCCCATAGAGGCGAGCCCTCTATGGCCGTCGAAAGCAAGCAAGCTGCGCGGTGAAGAACGATTTGCAATGAACTCGGGACTTGACGAAGAGACGCGGTTGGAACTGTGAAACCGGCACGATCTCGGTGAATGAATGAACATGAGTAATGAATGAACGGACGGTATCGTTTGATTGGCGAGTGAATTGACGTTATGGAAGCGCGTCAGGGTTGTTCTGCGAAGCGAAACAAAGGGGAGAAGAGTCGTTTACTTGGCCTACCATGCTGTTCACAATACGCTTCAAAAATGGTGCATGTAGGACACGGATAGAGAAGCAGATATAGCGAGACGGTAGTCGCGTATTCGAAGACGTTTCTCTTTCCTTCGACTTTCCTGGTCCCGCGGTCACGATCGACAACGTTCCACGGGACCAGGAAAGCTTCAGACCTCGGGTTCCCTCGCTTCTCTTCCTCGTACCCTGAGGAACATCGTCCACGTCGAGGAACAGTGCTCGAAGTCACAGTCTTTTGGCGAAGATTCGCGGTACCTTATCTTCGAGGACTGTTCTGTCGCAGCTTGAAAATACGTCGAGGGTCATCGTCGACTGGTTGCTCCGTAGAGCTGAAGAGGTTGGCGAAGAGAAGCGAGAGATCGAAACGAATGTCGTCGAGATAAGGCGGGAACTTCGCGGAGACACTGACCTGCCGAGGCTTGACCGGCGGCGGAGGACGAGTGGAGGGCGCGAGGGCTGCGGTTATTGTAGTTGGGGGCTGTTGATGAAGTGAGTGTTGCTGCTGCCAGGGCAGCCCTGTGCGTCCCAATGTTCCCTGCAGTTGATGGTGTACCTGTTGTTGCACCTGTTGCTGCAGCTGCGGCGGCTGCGGCTGCTGCTGCGGCTGCAGCTGATGCTGACTGTTGCTGTGCTCGACTGCTGGCATAACTCGAGGAAGCGCTGAAGCGACTGAAGAAATCTTCCGAACTGTCTGTGAAATGAGTGACTGATTATTCGGCTCCTATTCTTCAGGTCTGGGTGTTTCATCCGGGCCAGTCGGCGATCTCGACGATGGCTACGGGGATGATCGGACAGGGTCTAGAAACGGTGTTAGGAATGACGACATTACCTGACTTAACTGGCCAGATCTCCAGCAGGTACTTCAGCACGGCGATCGGCTGCTGGAAGTCCAGCGGAGGTCTGGTCTCTTCGGAGTGCAGCATCAGGACTGGCCCGAAGCACACTGCCAGGCTGGCCGGCGACATCTTGTTGCACTGCGACACTACCATTGCCAAGTGGTCCAGCAGGTAAATCAGTGTACACTGGAATCGAGGAGGATCGTTGTTAACTGGAGTGTTTAATCGGTGAGCATGTTCGGAGGGCTAATTGCTCACCCTGTTCACTTTCGGCAGACAGTCCAGGATACTAAACATCAGCTTAGCGTTGCCCTGTGGATCGTCGGGCAGACAGACGGCCAGTGCGTCGACCATCATCTGGTAGAGGCACTTCGTGAAGAGTGGTTCTGGAAGTTCTCGTAGATAGTCCTTCAGCACACCTGGAAGATTCGAGCCCGATGTTGAATACTGTCTCTCGGAGGCTAATCTCAACTATTAGTTGCTAGGATACCTGTGATGACGTTGATGTCGGGTACGTTGTCGGGTGACAGATTCACCGACCGGGCATTCCTCTCGAACGCTTCCCTCAGTATCCTCTTCTTCGTCGCCGACCCACACAGTCTGTACAAACCTGTTGCCAACGAATCATACAGTTACCGTCTACGTTCAACCCTCTATCAACGGCTGTTGAAAACAAAAGATAACTGACACTGACCAATGATGTCAAGGCCCCGTCTCTCGACCTCCTCCACGCAGCGCCAGACGATTATGGGAACGTTTGGCACACCCATCGCCAGGGCAGTGGACACTCCCCCGGGAACTCCGCCAGTTTTGGTCTCCCGACTCACCTGGAGACATTGGACTTTGAAGAATCTTGAAGACCCTCGTAGAACGTTGAAGCAAACAACCCCAAGTCCTTGGACTTACCACAGTGTCAAGATCAACTCCGAAGAGGGGAGCCACTCTGGTGGCCAACGATATAACTGGGAGTCCCCTCCTCCTGAAGGTCTGTTGGGCGTCGGTGTACCGCAGCTTCAGGTAGATAGTGCCGCGTGGTTCAACTTTAACAGCCAGCTGGTGCACCGGCGACTCCTTGAGGAGGGTGGCCAGGTGCACCGAGCCCTTGTAGCAGAGCTTGTGCCTGTACTGGGGGTCCCAGGAGTACACTAGCAGGTCCAACTGCCGGTTACCAACGAGATCCAGCTCGAAGGTCTCGTCCCAGTCGAACATCAGGTCGCCAGTCCGCACCACTGTCCTCGCCTTGTGCACCCTGTCGCACTCCAGCACGCAGTACAGGTCTCTCAATCCACAGCTGGCTGTTCGACGAAACAACACAAACGTTCGACAGGTCATTTAAAGCCCTAAGCCACCGAAGCTAGGCTTTTGGTCGACTCAAGGAGGACCTTGTGCCCTATGCCTTCGCACAGTGAGGTACAGCGATGCCCACAGTGGTCCGGCTACTCTGCTGACATTCGAGAGTAAGGGAAAGAGGATCTACTGTAGGCTTTCCGAAGAAGCGAAGCAATCCTTTTCTCGAGCTAAGGCTGTCAGTGCAACGGAGATGCCGACTAAGGGATGTGCAGACTCCCGAACGTACCTAGGTTAGGCTGACCTGATGGCGTGGAGGGCGTGGTGGCCGCCGACGATGACGTTGTCGACCTGAGGCCCCGTCCGGCGAGCAGATGGACCCAGAGCAGTCCGCTGACCCCACCAGCCAGGTCGCCGCCGCTGGCTTCCCCTAGGGAACTCAAGAGGGAACTGGTCGAGCTTGGAGTCCCTACAGTGGGAGGCTTCTCTATCTTATACTTGAGGAACTCTGGGGACAACATCGACACTTTAACGCAAGACCAAAGACGTTAATGACTAGGACAGCGAAGTCTGCCCACCTGCAGGGTTAATATCTAACAGTCTTTGATCCTGAGTTCTAGTAGGCGTGGGGGTGGGTATACTTCTCGTTGACTCCAGGTCCAGCGGGTTCCTGATCCTCCTGATGGAGGTGGCTCTCTGCGCCGTGGAGCTCGACAGAGACGGTTTCTGGTTCGTCAGCGACGTGCGCGCGCTGGATGCAACCGAGGCCGGTCTTGGGTTCGTCGCCCCTCGGTGACACGTGGAGCTTATGGCTGTCGATGCTCTAAGGTTCGCCAGGTTCACCTGTTGCGCGGAGGCGGACCTCGTCGACAGTCGGTCCAGGGTGCTCGACAGTGGTCTGTATGCACCGTAGCTGCCATACTCGCCCTGCGAGGTAGAAGAGGTGCTGTAGCACCTTTAATCCTAAACTTCATCCTCCTCCGGTCATACCTGATTCGCAGCTGCGTGGATGTTCTCTGCGCTGTAGGTGTAGCGGGGTGGCCTAGTCGTGGTCGCCCTGATCTGTTCGTACAGTGCACTCGTGCTGGGTGTTCGACTCAACCATGCTCTGTACTCGTCCGATGTGAACACACTAGGTGATGACGGTATCCTCCCTGCGGCACAGCCACGTGTCTCTTATAGTCTTCGTTGGGCCGGTTTACAAATCGGTCTGTGAATCGATACGATACCTCTGTCACGTCGAATGGAAGGCAATTCGGGTGCCGACAGTGCCCCGTCGCTGTCCTCCTGGTCTATTAACCCTGATGCTACCGTGCTAAGGCCGGACCTAAGGCCGGGCTGCTGAGGCAGCGTTCTGCTGCTGCGAGGCAAGGAGTTGGATCTCAAACCTGGACACACAGAGAAACGATCTTGTCACTATTAGTGCCCGGTCGGTCAGACGCAACAGGGGTCCAGCTACTAACCCGAGGAACTCTGACCAATCTGCGACCTGGACAGCGTCGCGAGGTGCGAGACAGCGCTGCTCTGCGAAGGATTGTTCATGTTGTGCCTGTAGTAATAGTACGCCGATTTGGGCGAGCTGGAACACGTCGCCTCCGTGTCGGACGCGTAGTCCAATGGCGGCCGGTGCCTCCTTGTCAAGGTGCCGAACTGGCCCTGCCTCTGGGTGCTGGTTGTGTCCGCTTGGGTGCCGTACCTCGTCGTGTATCTCAATCCCGATGTTCCTGCAAGGTAGCCGGCTTCAAGTAGCATTAAGGATCTACTAGTTCAGAAGATGACAGAGGATTACGGAGACCCTAGGTGTCTTGGAACCAAATTGCATACTGGAGACGTTCTCGAATGTTTGATAGACTCGGGGACAAGATAGAGACTCGAACCTTTATTAATACCAATTTGATGTTCAACTTGGTCCAAGGACACGTTGGTTTTCTAACGATGTTGCGCTTCAATGATCTTGCTTACCTGATTTCAAGCTGGATCTAAGTAAAGTGTGTCTAGCCGGAGTAGTTATGCTGGTGTAGTCGACCCGTGGCAGATGCTGGTCCGATCCACTTCTGGGCATGATCCTCCCGCTGGCGGTGTGCTGACTGTAACCATAGTGCGACGACTGCGTTTGCCCCGACAATCTGCTGCCCACCGACTGCATGCCTGCCCCCGTTGACATTCGGCGACCGCCGTTCGAGGGCATTACCGGCCCCGTGTAAAATGAGTGTACCTAAACGCGTGTCCTCATTAGGTATCGCTTGATTCGTTCGCGAACGTCATTCTTTCGTTCGGTTCTTCCATCACAGCGACCCCGAGCAAGATTTCAAACGACAGCGTAATCCGTGATCGAAGAAGCCATCAAACGAGGTACTGAATCACGGTTAATGGATCTCGTCGGACTGTTCTCATGAATTCTGACGGGGTACGATCAATGATCCGGAGATCCATCCGTCGTGAGACTATGACAATCACGGATCGTCCTGGGCAGAGAATACTCGGAAAGAAAGAAATCGAAAGAACGAACGCATAGCAAAGCTGACGAGGCAACATAAAGAGGATCCACATTACCAGTAGGGACATACAGAGGCGAGATCAACTCCACGTGGACGACGACAATCATTCGCCACTTTGTTTCAACTGTACATCGCGTTAGGACGGATACTTTTGTCGATTCGACTGTGAAAACTTTAAGTTTAAACCTCATACGACCTTGGGAAATTATGCGTCGAAGGTTCTACGATAGTCGCCCATTTTACAATTTACGAATACCTCTTGGAATGTCACTAGCAGTGCCAACGATGCACATAAATGAGCGAACGTTTAGCCTGTGAGGAACGTATGAGGATCAAAGATTAGGCGCGTTCCACGGTGGGCGAATGCTTGTCCGTCCAGGTCGGGCACGGTGCAGAATATTGCGCTCATACACAAGTCTAGATATCAAGAAAGAGTTGGTGGTTTCTTTACCTTTGTGAAATCCTGGTTAATATCAATGTAGCATTCATTCATAGAACCAATTAGTCATGTGAAACACGTCGTCGAAACACGATTGAAATCGCGAGCCGTCCACTCCCAAAGCCATTTGAACATTGCTAATTGCTTGCCACTCGTCGTTCTAACAAATACACGGATTCTACTTCCACGGTTCACGGCCACCGCCAAATGGTTTGGACATTCGGACAGCACGCGTCACAGCGATCTCTATCAAGAGTGTCTCGAGACATTGCCACGAATTCACCATTTTCTGATTAATCGCGATTGCAATCGAAGACAGAGAAAGGCAAACAAGTGTCAACTTGGTGCAAACAGGTATGTGAAAGGGTGCTCGATCCACATCGTCTAGAACATCTATGTGTGATCTACTTCCGACAGCAGGTGGGGACTCGATACCCTAAGCCGTCGGTCCTAAAGTCGGACCATCGCCGGACCGTGTCGTCCGTGCGTAATTCATTCACCAATCCAGGATTCGTCCCGGTTCTACCTGGGACCGAGATCCCGACCTGCCTCAGAATTTCGGATAAAGATCGAATCGTTCCTCAAAACTTACTTTTTCCGCCAGGCTCTCCAACGTTTTCGGATATCCACGCTCGTAGGGCTGGAAGTGCTGCGTTGCCGATGGTTTCGGCTGATGCGTGATCACCGGCGGCGGCGGCGGTTGGTAGGACCAGTGTCCTTCCGGTCTGGAGTTGTAGTAGAGATCGCCGTTGCTGGATCCCAAGTCCTGACTAGATCCTAGACCCGTCAATCCCAATTTCGACCTAGACGGCAGCATCTCGCGACCGTCGCCGCGCCTGCGATTGCTGTCTCTGTAACCGCGGGACCAGTTAACAGGTGTCCCTGGACCGAAGTCCAAGTCCCGGAGCCTGAAGTCCAAGTTGCGGGAACGCGGGCTGGCGTACCTGATGTGGTTACTCGTTGCATGATCGCTCTCGTCCTCGTTCAGTTCCCTCTTGATGACGACAACCGGCGGCGCCTTGTGCTCCGTTTGGCGACTGTGCGAAACTGGCTGATGCTGGCCGTGTCTCGTGGCCAGAACTAGCCTCCTGGGTATCGACATTATGATCACCACGTCGTCCAGGCTCATGTGCGTCACGTCGACCAGGTTCACCGCCAGGATCTCGTCCCCTACCTGAAGCGGAAAGCGTGGGTCGGGACCAGTCCAAGGAAGTTCGAAGCAACTTCGCGACCTAGCTGGTCCACGTATCAATGGTCCTAACTCGATAGCGTCCCCGTTAACACGAGGCTTCGCTAGGACCTTGCGCCGCTGCCCCCGTTTCCCGAGGATTCTACGAAGGCTACAGATTTCTAACAAAGTTTAGACGCATCCCGATACCAAAGGACTTCGGTCCACGCATGTTCCCCCTCCCCCACGGGACGATCTAAACAAAGCCTCCAGCAGCCGACACCGTTCGCCTAACTTGACCTAATGGCCTAGGCCCCCGATGGGAGCGGAGTTTTAATAAATTCCGAGGCCGAATTGGCTCGGATGCGAGACCGGGCCGCAGCGGCAATTAGGCGTTCTAACTCGATGCGGCCGGGACACAAAGATAAAGAAGTCTCACCTTCAAACAGCCGCTGTTATAGACGGCGGTCTCCAGGGCTATCCTCGAGATAAAGACACCGTCGTTCCTGTCGACGCCGTTTCCCTCCCGTATATAGAGCCCGAGCGTCTGCCCTGGCCTTTTGATTATCTCGACAAAGTGGATGGGCTGCTTCGGGTCCTGCAACCAATGTCGCCCCGGTGACATCCCCGGCAAATATTCCGCGGAATTAAACGGCGAACAAGAAAACCGCCGCATTGTCCGCCGGGTAATTAGACCGGCTGGCCAGGGGGTGCGGGGAACAACGGCCGCGCATAATTCCGCGCGACAAAGGTCACGAAAATGGCCCCGGGATTGCTTTTGCCCTCCGCCCGCGATTTGATCGCTCTCGATGCACCCGACGTCGTCCAAAATAAAACGTGAAACTGTCACGTGCTCCCGGAACGGACATTGTACACTATTTCAAAGGATTCATGAGGAACGGAGACGTTGATCGTAGCCCTTTTGTTTTAGCGGAAGATGCTGCTCCGATAAGTCGGCACTCAGCATATTGCTGCAGCAGAGTGTGATATACCGGTTACTGGACTTGTTACACGCTTTATGGTATGGGAAGTTGTTCTTTAGGGGGTGTACATCTTGACCAGGCTAGGGGCTCGATAATATATCAGGTTATACGCGACAAGTTATGGCGTTTTGTTGGCAACTTAGCCTGGACCTAGCTAGGGTAACTTCTCTCACATTGTCCCTCAGCTTGGAAACGAAAATGGACAACTTGATCAGGATTATGTCAGCAGGGTTATAAATTTGTCATGAACCTTGTGTCGGGTTAACGAAAAACTTAAGTTCTGTGGAATCGAATAATGAGACAATGTACAGTAATGTCTCTCTAATTAACGCTCAGATTGTCCACAAAAATGGACGATTAGTCGAGCCTTGCAGTTCGTTTTTATAGTTTCGAATTGTCAACAACTAGAAGAACGAGCTGCCGGGCTCGAGTAATCGTATCTCCTCTTCTCAAATTGTCCATTTTTGTGGACAATCCGAGCGTCAATTAGAGCGTCAGTTAGGGAGACATTACCGTACAGGTTACTGTCTCAAGCGAAGGGAACAGCTTCGACGGTTACCCACCTGCATGGCAATGAACTTTTTCGCCGCTTCGGATGCCTTCCTGCCCATTTGTCGCGGCTCGATGACCCTGACGACCATCTCACCCCTCCGGTCGACGGCCTCGAGGGCCGCTGCTGTCGCGGCGTCATGATCGTTCTCGACGGTCTCGATTTGCTTGAAGATCTCTGAGCTGATCCCGCTCACCTGCAACGACAGGCCCTTCTACTTCAACGGGTGCAACGGGAACGGGTGTTAACTGGGGAAGGACACCGTGAAACCGATCCAGCTTGCCCGTAGAAACGACTGAAAAGTCTTGGTCTCAAAGACGAAGATTAATTATCCGTAGCTGGAACAGTTTCACGAGTCGAGACGATCCGACGTTCCTAACTCTATTCTTCTTTCTAGCTTGTTGCTAATTGGATGGATCGATTGGCTATCTGGTCTATCCACGGACAGAGCAGATAGATACAATCGAAGTTCCCTCGCGAATCGATTAAGACGTCTGGCGAACTTTCTAATTGCTAAATATTTCTCCGTGCGGGAAAATCAACCGCTTTGTACGCGACACAACTCGGATCGTTTCTCGAATCGTTGGCGGATCCGTCGAGGATAAAATGTTACGGGGTACCTTCCTGAAGTCTCCTTGGATGACCATGGGGGGTGGTTCCTTGGGGCGCAACTGGTTGGCAGGTGCCTGCCTCCCAGGACTTGCGCTTATGTCTGTCACTTCTCCCCGGCCCTCCTGCAACGAAATTAACGGCACTGATTAGCGCGACATTCTCTGCACTGGTCTAGCAGGTAATTGGTCCATTAGTCGGCGGCCCGAGGGTCTTTATGTTGACCTTTACGCCGACCCCTCCGGCAACATCTAATTTTCGTTTATGCGTCGTTATGCACACGTGGCCGAACACCGAAATCCCGTAGCGCTTTGTTTAAAACGCGCGACTTGTTGATTCGTGCCGAGGGGTCCGTTCTGACCCGGAGCGTCCCGTCCAGCGGTCAATCGAGCGGAACGAGAGCGTTAGAGCATCGAAGAAGCGGGTCGAACGACAACGATAACGATCGCTCTACGGCGAAACTATTTCGCGTGTGTTGCATCACCGAATGTTTGCTCGGACGCGCTAGAGCCTCTAAACGAGCCAGCGGATTTAAAAGCCTCGGAGGTCCGGTTCTTTGCGGCGGTCGCGCGCGATATTCAATCGGCGGACTGATTAAAGGCTCGTCAAAATTGCAGGCGCTTTTAGCGCGTCCGGCCCCCATGAAATTGAGAGCAGCAGGGGATGCACACGCGTCCCGGGCTCCAACGCGAAAATAGGCTAGCCGGATACTCTTTTGTCGGTCAACGGCGGCACACGAGGGCAGATCCTAATCGGCTGTCCACGCGGGGCTAAATAATTCGCCGAATCCCGAATCCACTTTTCTCTCTCTCTCTCTAGCTCTCCTCCCTCTCCCCCCCTCTGAACTACAATTAAAGAACAGTGGCTGCTTTGTGCGACGGTACGGCATAACTGATGGCTCCATTCCTGGAATTACTGTGTTGTCCCGATATCGTCGGAGACAATGGACGCTAAGCTACTCGGTCCCCTTTCAGCCGATGGTAGCGAACAGTCCGGCACACGTGAATGCCGGGAATACAAGTACCAGCGAAGAAAACCGATTTAACGGAGGCGCGACCAGGCTTCAACAATACTTGGGACAATGGATTCCCATGGAACTAGGACGTGGTCCTTAAAATCCGCGAGTGCAGTTCGGTTGATGTTCAGCAATTGATCGCGCGAAGGAACTTGTTTAGCCATCTATCAGAGCCGCTGCGCCACGAGACAATGGGCCCCCGGCTCTATGCACCGAGGCTTTCGCGAATTTTACTCGGGGAATAATATTTTTCCAATGAAACAGGACACTGTCCTCGAAATCCACTTCCCCACAATGGAGCATGTTTACAGATACGTCGAATATCAGGCGCGTGCATCGAATCGTCCGGATTTCCCATGCGTTTGCATGGCGATGCCTAATGGACGCAACTCGGGAACCACATTTCTCCGCGGTTGGACATGTTTACTGATAAGTTAGGACTGCCGTCTGTAGGGGATTATCGTCTTCGGAGGCCCATGTGTTCAGAACTTGGGGGAAACATTTTTCCAAAGATTTTTTCCAGGACTTGGTCTCTTAACATCTGTACGATATCTAGTGGATTCGACTTTGGGACATCTTGCTAAGACATGCTCTGTGACAACTTGGACCATACGTTCGAAACTTATGGGTATCGTTTATCCAACACACCGGGATATGACATACTCCAAATCTATTGGACGACTAGGCTTATCAACCTCTCTGACAGCTAAATCCTGGCTAGCCTAGCGCGTCAACATCTTCACGTGTGTTCACAACGAGGTCTAAGGAGCGCAAGTGTTAAAGCAACAATTTCTCACAATAAGACAAGTTCACTGGATAAGTTAGGCTCTACGGTGGACCAACGTTCTCGTCCCATGTGTTCACGAGGAGGCAAAATGATCAGAGCTTCGAAACAGCGTATTTCGAATTTATCCGGAGGGTTGGTGAAACCGACTAAATCAATTTATCACCGACTGCGAAGCAGTCTCTGACCTCTACCACGTCGCCTAACCACGCCGGGGTTCAATGGATCGACGCGAGCGTAGCCGGGTGCGCGCACCAGGTCGGCAACGTCGGTACACGCTGTGGAACGCACCCCGTGGAGGCATGTGAAGAGCACGAGCCACGCGGCGGAGCCGCACATCCGGTCGCAGAGCGACAACAGGGACATCCAGACTTGCGCGGCCGATTTGCAGCCCCTTTTGTTCGAGCCTTCGTCCGTGGTCCCAGGACCAAGCTCCTCGGGCTTCACGGAGCCGTCAGCGCCCCTGTCCCTGGCCGGTTCCGGCGTCCAGACGTCCCGGTGCTCCTCCTTCCACCGGGCCTCGGTGTCCTCAGTCCACCCTGCGGTGGTCTTGGTAGCGCGTTTCGTGGCGGTCCGCGTATCCATGCGTTCCGTCACGGTCCGAGGAACTCTCGAGGGTGCGTAGACGACGACGACGACGACCCGATCTGTCCACCCTTGTTGCGCCTGCACCCTCTCGGCCCGTCCTTGCTACCTAGCACGCCGGTCCCTCGCAGCCCACGGACACCCTTAAGGGCCCCGGCTAGTTTTCCACGGTCGTGGACACCACGCGACTCGAGGACTGGTCCACGCGACAGAGTACGCGGATTACCTTACGGGAGAAGAAGCAGCCCGAGCCACCCCTTTGTCGCACATCCTACCTACCCCATGCTGGCTAATATGGCGGGAAGGAGCGCTCAGGAGCGTACGAGGCCGCGCCTGCGCCCCCCTGGCCGGCTACGATGCCGGGAAAGGGAGTGTGGGTGAGTATCGACCCGACGTGACGTCACCGTGACCCCCCGCCGCCCCCAGGCCGCCGCTCGCGTACTCTGTCGCTCGCGAGGATTCTCGGTTACGCTGCCGGCTCCTACACCCCGCGTCGCTCTTCCTCCTGTCCCTCACCCTTCCTCGCCGCTGCCAGTCTTCTTTTCCGCTCCGCCGCCACGGCAGTCCGGATCGAAGAATTTAGTGACATTTTACGAAAGATCATCCTTTTTGGGCCCTACGAGATCACTCGCCGGAACAGGCTCTGCGCATCCTGCTTGATGCAGATCCCTGGTTTCGATGGTATACGGGAAAGAACACGGCTTCTCGTTTAATGGAAACTGTGATTTCGTTAATTGACCGGTCCTCCAGGAAGTCCTTTGGTCCACCGTGCCCTACGACAATGCGACGGGGCTATCGTCCCTTCGATAACCCAGATCGCCTAACGCGCCGGCTTTTTCCTGAACGAAAAGCGAAAGGCAGTCTGCAACATCGCCGCCGGTCCGGCCAATCTGATCCGAGTCTCTTTAACCAGGATTCTCGGAGGATTATCAATACTCGTTCCCCTCCCCCCGGCCTCCGCCGCCGGCCGTACGATCGTTGAGTAGAGAGACCGTTCCCAGAGACCCCTCTCTTCGTTTCCCACGATTTACGAGGAGTACCGGTCCTCTTTCGTCCCGACACCAGGTGGTCCCCCGTATTTTGTATCTTTTTCCAGCGCGGATCCTACCCATCGATCCCCTTTCCCTTTCCCTTCTTCTCCTTCTGCTGCTGCTGCTGCCCACCCGCCCTCCTCCTCCTCCTCCTCCCCCCCCCGCTTCACCGTCGCCCGCTCTTCATCCTCCTCTCTCATTATTTTTACTTCGACCTATTTTACCCGTTCGAGGATATTCATTTATCCCCCTTTTATTTCACTTCGCGGTTGTTCACCCCTAATTGCAACCACTCTTGACATCTTTCCCCATCTTGTAACCAACGATTCCCTTCCGCGAGCCCATGGCTGACGGCCCTGGTTCTCGACGGCCGGTGCTCGATAGTGCTCTAAGATCTGCTTTCTACAGGACGATTCATAAGCGGCGGCTTCTTGAGCCAGACAGCTTTGAAAGCGACTCGGGTATTATATAGTTTCTCCTTTTCGAACGATTTTAATTTCGATGGGTCCAAACTGACCAGATTTCGAGTGCTGGACACTACAGTCGCGGCTGGATAGATTTAGATAATTTTGAAGAGCGTCTCTCTGCTGGATCTTCATTTTTCTATAATCTTATTTTGAATGGGCCCTATGCGATCCTTATCGGTCCTAACTGGGTCGAAAGCGACCCAGGTTCGATTGGCAGTCATATTTTTCACAAGCTAACAGCTTCCGAAGGTCCCCAAATACGTCTTTCTGCAATTTTTCCATTTCTCTATAATGTCACTTCCTTAAATAGGTCCAAACTGAGTCTGGGTCAGATGGGACCCACCTCTATCGCAGTAGAGAAGCTCCAAAAAGTCTCCGAAGGTATCCAGATATGCCTCCTCCCTTCTACAAATGGTTTGTCAAATGCATCGTCCAACATCTTTCTGCAAATTCATCTCGAATGGGTCCACTCTGACCCAGTTTCTAGCAGACACACCCACCGTGGATTCACGAAATTTTCGGCAGCCCCCTTTCCCGTTACGGCGAGGTGCTTCGCATCGCGAATCCAAGTGCTTCAGCTTCTCCTCGTTTCGGTCCCTCAGCCCGCCCCATTCTGTCTGAATGTTTCTTGTCTGTTGTTTGGATACCCTGGCCCCTTGGCTACCCCGTGTGTAGGCGATCTTTCGCCTTTTCTCTCGCTGGCTTATACTCGTCAGCTGAACCGTGATAACCAGCTCAAGTTAGATAATCAACAACAACAGACAGCCCTCAAACAATTAACAATCAGCAAACAGAAATCAAAATGTTACCTTCCATTTTAGATACTGCAAAATATCTGTAATTCTGATTACGTTCTACTTGCGGCAAGATTTTTCGTGCAACTATTTATTTATTTATTATGTATTTATTTTAGAATCTCATTTTGTATTCTAGACGCTGTAAAATTCTATTCATCCTGTACGATCATGTTCTAATTAGGAGAAGATATTTTATGCAACCTTTTATGTTTATTTAATTATTTATTATGTATTTATTCATTTATTCAGTGTTTATTTATTTTAAAAATGTCAGTTTCTATTATAGATACCGTCAAAATTGTTGAGCAGCTGTTTCCAAAGAAGTTCAATGAAAAATTATTGACAGCTAAACAAGTGTCCATCGTTCGAGTCACCCCTCGCAGACCGATCGACAGTTTCCCGGGTCGTTAACAATCGCGAGTCCTCCGTCTCGAAATTTTCCACCC